TTGGGGCGGGTCCCAGACAGGCAGCCCCGAGCCGGGGCCAGTGTCCTCAGCCCCTGGGAGGGAGGCGCTCCCTCTGCTCCTCGGCCGGGAGGCCGCCCCGGAGCCGGGAGCGGGCTTGCCGGCTTGGGCTCCGGGACAGACGCTGTGCTCTGCGCCCCCCGCAGACGCAGGTCAGGCTCGTGGGTCGACCAGGTGCCCCCACGGCACTCCCTGCTGGGGTCTCCGAGGCCCGGCTCCCCGGCCTCACCCTGCAGTCCCCGCCGGCCGCTCGGGGTCTCGGCTGGAGCCACGGTGTCCCGCGAGTGGTGCTGGGCTCTCTCAGGACCGACCGGGCCCCAGTGGCTTCTTGATGCCCATAGGTCCAAATTCCTGAGTGACAAATGGATGATGCAGAAGGGCTTCCTGAAGGAGGACGACTTCACCGTGACAAAGCCGTGGTAAGGGTGTCTCTGAGCGGAGACCGTGCTCCCAAGTCCAGGCCCCTGTGCTCCGTCCCGCACCCGGCCGGCCATCATCCCTCTGCGCTGAGCAGTGAGTGTACTTGTCCTCCCCTCCCGCCGCCCGGTTCGTGGCCGGCCCGGCGCCCTCCCCCCAGGTGGTGGCACCTGCGAGTTCAGGAGCTGAGCCTGTCGGCCCCGCTGACGGTGCTGCCCACGGTCACCTGCGAGCACACCATCGAGATCCTCCGCGAGAAGGGCTTCGACCAGGTGCCCGTGGTCGACGAATCAGGGTCAGTGTCAGCCACCCCAACCCGGGGCTCTGCCCGGAGCCGCAGGGCCAGGGCCCCAAGCTCCCGGACAGGGCGGGGCAGCGGTCGGACGACTTGTCCGTGCACACCCGCCACGCTAGCTCTTACGGCCCAAGGGCCCCTCCTGCGACGTCCCTGCACTCTGGGCACGTGCGTGGGGGGCGGCGGGAGAGGACCGGCCGTGCCGTGGCTCGTGGCCAGCACTGGAAGGCCGTGGCCAGCCAGCAGTCTCCCGAGACCGTCCCAATTCTAGAACCGAGCCCACCACCTGGGACGCTGCCAGCTGTTTCCCCACGATGCTGGTCAGAATGGAGGCGCCCGAGACTCGCTGGTTTGTGGTGTCCCTGCACTGGACAGGCAGCCCCCAGGGCCAGGTGTCGGTCACTCTATACCCACGCGTAGGCACCGCACTTCCTGGTTGAATTTTCAGATTCCACGTCTGGCCACGGAGCACAGCCTGAGCAGAGGGTGGCTGTGGGCGTGTTCTGTCCTTGAGAGGGAAGAGGGGTGCCCGCACTGACCCCTGACCCGTTTCCCAGGGTGATCCTGGGGATGGTGACCCTGGGGAACATGCTGTCGTCCCTGCTCGCTGGGAAGGTTCAGCCATCAGACCAAGTTCGAAAAGTCCTCTATAAGCAGTTCAAACAGGTACGAGCTCTGTTTCACTCGAGACCCGGGCCTGCCCTCGAAGGCGGGGCTCAGTGCTCCCGTGAGAGGGTGCCGGGGCCCCTGCTGCGCCCAAGCCCATAAACCCAAGGTTTTGCCCCTGTTCTGCAGGCGGCCCTCGCTGGTGGGGGCTCACCTGGGGGTCAGCATCCCGAGGCCATCTCAGCCAAGCCGGGCGCCCGCCAGCACGGTCGTTCCGCAATGCTGGGCCTGTGCCTTCTCTGTGCACGTTCGCTAAGAATGCCCGGCAGGCCGAGAACATTCTGGGGAGTTGCCGGGGCTGGTTGGGGCCCGTGGGTGTCCTTACATGATCACGGCCCCTCGATGGGCCGGGCAGAGGCCCCAAGGTGGTGCGGTCGGGCGTCCCCTCTCCCTGGTCCCTGGCGCCGACTCCCCACCAGCTTGTCCTGCACTTGGTGAGGGAAGGCGGCCGCTGGCCGTGTTGGATTTGAGGGGCTGAGTCTAGAGCCGGGGAGGAATTTCCCACCACGCAGCTGACATGGCCCCAGAATCCGTGTTCCTTCCACTTTCGGCCATCACCTGTCTCACGGGCCCTGCAGGGCCCCTTCCGCTAGGCCCTCTGGGAGCCACTGCCCGGCCTGGACTGTCACCCCCTCCTCCTCGTCCCCTGTCCTTCCTCCAACCTCGACACTTCCCGCAGCTCGTGCCCCCGCCGCCCCCGCGCGATGCGCTCACCCTCTGTGCCCCAGGCCCTGTCACACCCCGGAGCACCGAGCGCACGAGCGTGTTTCTTGTGCGGAAGCTCCGTGAGGTGTCACTGAGCCCGGTGTCCCGTGCAAGGGGCTGGCCAGCCGGGCCGAGCGTGGGCGCCCTTCCCGCCGGCTTCTCAGCTCTTCCCTCTACCGAGGCGTAACTGCCACACGGGGTCGTGTCCAACCTAGCCCATTCGATGGTTCTGACACGAATACGCACCCACGAAGCTGTCCCCGTGGTCACGAGCGCACGTATCCCTTACCCCGAAGGCTGCCCCCGCCCCCGCCCCTCTCGTTGCTGCAGGCGATATGTGCTCTGCAGACCCGTGCACACAGCGTGTGCCACTCGTGTGCCTTTCCCACAGCGTAGTGTGGTGAGACCCATCCCCCGGGGCCGTGCACGCTGGTCCCTTCCCGCCCCGAGTGCCGCTGGCCTGCGCCGGGGCCTTCCACGAGCTGGCCTGGTCGGGGGAGCCTTCTCTCCGGTGGGGGCTCCGCTCCGTGGGTCTGTCTTCAAGCTGGCAGAGCTGGTGGCCGCCACCTGGCGCCCAACTCTGTATCTAGTTCCCTCCCTGAGAGGCCACGTCACACCTTCAGCCACGCCTCCGCCCCCAGAGTGCGGCCAGGCCCTCGGCCGGGAGCCCTCTGGGTCTCAGCGCAGGGACTTCAGTTCCCGCCGCTGAGCTGCCGGGCGGGGCGGGAGGAGCCGACTGCGTCGGGGGCCGCCGTGCACCTGCTCCCCTCTGCCCTGCGCTCCCAGGGGCGGGTGTGGAGGGAGGCAGGTGTCTTCCTTCAGCAGGGGCTCCAAGCCTCCGCATTCCAGATCCTGTCTTGAGAGTGCAGGGGCCGCAGTAGACAGCCTGGGTGGGACCCGACATCTGGGCACAGCCGCCCTGCCGGGTGCTGGCCCTTCCTGCTGCCCCGTGGGGGCCTGGCCACCTGGGTGCGCTGTGGCTCCCTTACCACCTGGTTCTTTGTGACCCCCCCCGTGGTCTTTTGACCACATCCAGTGCGTGGCCTACAGAAAGCGTTTGGCGGAAGCTGGCTTCCGCGGACCGGCGCTGCTGTGAACACTTCATCGTGCACTGGCGCCCGGTGTGGACATGCTGGACCCCCCCGGACCCACCCCCAGAGGCTTTTCCCCTGGTCTCCTGAGCCGTGAGCGCTGGTCTTTTCCCATGGAACCGCCCCCAGTACCAGAGTCCAAATAGGAAGGGCGCCGGGCTAGGTTCCGGTGTGGCTGACCAGGGCTTGTCCAGCTCACGTCTGATGAACACTCCCCTCACTGTGTCCCCAGAGAGGGTCAGCCAGCCCCTGTGATCCCTCCCGGGGCACTGATGGCAGTGGAGGCCGGGGGGGGACAGAGGGCTCTCCGGGGTAGACTTTCCCGGGAGCGTAAAGAGATGGCCGAGTGCCGTGGCTTACACCAGGTGACCCCCGCGGCTGGGCTGCTGACGCCCCATCCGTAACTAAGCTGAGAACCTTGCGGTGTGAGTAGGTGGGAAGGAGGTCCCGAGGTAGAGCCCCAGCCCGTGTACATGCCGGCGGGGGCTGGGGGCTAGGCTCACTCCATTCTCCGAATGCCCCACCTCACCGTGTTCACCTCTCCCTGCGGGTCATTTAAAACTAGGAAGATCTTTCAAATGGAAGTATGGCCTCGGGTGAGTTCAACTCGTAGAGACGTCACCTGCGTTTACCGCAAACTTGCGTTCCCAGTGCGGGGACGGGGGTCTGTTCTTGGGGAGTGCTAGGCATGAGGGTAACAGCTCCGAGGGCCGGGGAGGCTGAACTCATTGAACAGCATCCTCCGCTGATTTCCCAAAGAACATGGATACAAAGACAGGAGCCCTTTAGGCCTCTTGCTGACAGCAGACCTCTTCCCTCTGGACGTGTGGTCACCGTGACTTCCGGGTTCCAGGCGGTCAGCCAAGAGGGTGTTGGGGGTGTGCCCGAAGCCCATCTCCGGTCTTGGCTGAGATCCGAGCCGGGCGTTGGCGATGTTGGGGGCGAGGGAACACCTGGGCGCCGGGTCGGCGCGCGGCGAGCCACGGACTGAGCGGGGCGACAGGCCTGGTGGCCGGGGGGCCACCGGGGGCCAGCCTTGCTCCCGCACAAGGGCCAGGGTCTCTGATCATGACCGCTCCTCCAGCGCCCCCATCCTGATTTTCCCTCCTGGGTCTTCTGTCCATTTTGTGTCCCCCACACTCCCTTTCCCACCTGGTGGGAGCACACTTCTCGTGAGGCACGGGTGTCGATCCTCAGAAGGTGGACCCTGTTTTTACTGTAAGTTCTCAGTTTGTCTTGAGCAGGTGGTGTGGGGCGAGCACCCCCATCTGCCTTCTCCACACAGCTCGCCATTGTTAGCACGTCTTGCACTGGTGTTTGTTGGGGCAGGTGACCGATAAGTGCTAGTTTTCTCATAGGGGGTCTGTCTGTGCCTTCCACGGGCCCCGGGGTTGTGGCAAATGTAGCTGTTCCAGTATCCCACAGACTGGTACTGTGTGTAAACCCCTCTCCCCCTGTATCTCCCTGAGTTTTCTTTTTTTTTTTTAATGTTTACCTTTGAGAGAGACATAGTGTGAGCGGGCGAGGGGCAGAGAGAGAGGGAGACAGAATCCGAAGCAGGCTCCAGGCTCTGAGCTGTCAGCACAGAGCCCGATGCGGGGCTCGAACTCATGAACTGCGAGATCATGACCTGAGCCGAAAGCCAAAGTTGGAGGCTTAACGGACTCAGCCACCCCGGCACCCCTCCCTGAGCTTCTCATTAGTTTTGCGTCTTCCAGAATGTCAGAGTTGGGGTCAGAGTGTGGGAAGCCTTTCTAAATGGCTCTGTCCTGTGTCTAAGGACTCATGGTTCATCTAAGCGTCTTATGTGCACTGTGTCGCCCTCTGCGTCCTGCATTCGGTTTCTGAATCGGCAAAAGACTAGAGGAGAATGTTCTGGAGCGATGCCCAGCCTTTGCTTTGCTCCTTTCACTGTCAGGCCTGGCAGGCAGTGGCCCTCAGGCTCCGCCAGCTTGAGGCCTGGCGGGACTGTCCTGGGAGCGCTGACCGACCGCACGTCCTCTTCCAGATCCGGCTGACGGACCCGCTGGGCAAGCTGTCGCACATCCTGGAAATGGACCACTTCGCCCTGGTGGTCCACGAGCAGATCCAGTGTGAGTGGGCCTGCTGTGGGCCGGGCTGGGCCGGGAGCTCCGCGGGGCAATGAGGCCCTCGTCCCTCAGAGGGTGTCGGGGGGGGGG